GGCCAAATTTGGCCCGCCAAGCCATTTGATTTGGCCCACCAACAGTTGCCAAAGTTACAAGGTTGTAACCTGTCATCCTATGTAGAAACACAGTATTTCCATTGGTCAAATGACTATATAAAAGGGCCATAGTGAAGGTAGTTTTGATTCATGATGCTGACTTTATCTTTGATTTATTAGGATTAAACATGAAACATGAAATGACAACAAGAAATATTTAGATCAGATTTAACCTCACATGTAGATTTGCACACTTTATATGGCCACAAAAACTCATATTATATCAATTTATGAAATGTCCCATGAGCCTTTGCTACTTGAGCGTATGGCAGACTTTCTCCAAGTGCACTAACTAAAACAAAAGATTGCATAGCTTAATCGTTAAAAACAAAGGACTTTACTTTAAAAAATATTTGTATTTCATATATTATATTACTGCATTTGGCCCGCAGCCCCCGATAGATTTTCATTTTGGCCCACTCAAGGAAAATGTTTGGGCACCCCTGTTCTAAAGCATTAAAATCCCAGCTGATCTATGGAACATTCCTCAGAGTCAACATGAGACACTATTTTCTGTGTGCAGAATATTGTTAACATTTCATCTAGTGTAGTGGTTCCCAAAGTTGGGGTCGGGACCTCTTTGTGGGTCACAAAATATCAAATGAGGGTCCCCAGATGATTTCCAGACATCAATTTAAATGCAAAATAAATAAATAAACAAACAAATAAATAAATAAATGCTAATGGAATATTTTCATCAAGATTGTTGCAATTTTTTGAAATAACCATAAATGAATAAAAATTAGTATCATAGTTACTGTTTGTTGATAGTTATTATTGCCATGTTTAACAGAGTTATCAGCAAAGTTTGCTACATAAACAAGTAATATGTGGGGTCACGAGTGTCTGCAACTGTTATTTTTTGGGTCGGAAGCAGAAAAGTTTGAAAACCCCCCACTTGGCCCCGAAATGGGTGCAGAAGCAGAAGGAGGTTCTTAAAGAGACAGAGGCCAATTTCAAGGTGTTTAGAAACAGATATGATGAAAAGTCAAGTTTATTTTGTATTTAAACATATAAACAACATTTTAATGAAAATTGAAGGTGACATAATTACTTTACTATGGTACAGAATTTAAATATATGCATGAGAAACACATAATATTGCCCCTTTAATAAGTGGACAGACAGAAAATAATAATTCATTCTATGCTGGTTCACTTTCAGTTGATGCGGAACTGTTTGGTTTCTGATCTTTCAGCGTATGAAATCACTCACCAATGATGACTGTCTCTACCGCTCCGTTATAGCCTCTGATTTAGGTGCAGAGTCATCAGAGTGCACTTTGACCTTTGACCTTTGTTTGCAAGCAGAGAACTGTGCAGTGATGAAGTGATGTTCTCTAAGAATCTTGTGTGACAACGTTTCCTGTTTCCTATGTGGATCTGGCAGCCGTCCGCCCCGTTGGTCCGGCTGCAGAAAATCACAGATTGGTGGGTGTAATGTCCCACACAAGGCTGTGTTTTCTTTGTCAAGTGCATGTGTGTGCTTGTGTGTGTGTGTGTGTGTGTGTGCGCGCGCACACATTTTCACTCCCTCTCTGGTGGTGCTGGGGTGTTTGGCAGGATAAATATAGCTGCGTTGGTGTAAAACTGTTTTCTCCTCGGCTTTGGAGCTTTAATCAAAAGCAATCTGGAGGAGGGAAGAATGGAAGGAAAAGTGGGGTGAAAAAGAGGATGGTGTGTGTGTGTGTGTGTGTGTGTGTGTTTGTGTAAGTGTGTTTGTGAGGACTATATTTTATTTTAGCTCTCGTTAAAGAGTTACTGGGGAGTGTTCATGGTTAACGAGAGCTCCGGTGGCTGCGAGACCAATTCAGACAACCTCTCGCTCCTCATCTCCATTCTCTGTCTTTTTTTGACAAGATATTTTTAATTATTTTGATTTTACAGAAGATATGAAAGGAAAAAAAAAACAGAAATGTTCAAATAGCAGCTTTCTGTTAACCAAAAATAAAAACTGTTGCTCAATGCCAACTCAAAATCTACAAATCACTTATGAATGGTGACTCTGTTACATTCAGATTTTAATCAGATTTTTTCACATTTTGATGGTCTAGAAAGGGCTTACACATTTTGTATAACTGATCAGTTTTAAAGTTTAAAACACAGGTCAAAAAATTCATGGGTCTGTGGTCCAGTATTGTACCAATCAGAAATTGTGGGCACTTTAAGAAAGATCCAGTGGAGCTAGGATTTTTTCCTAGCACATTAAAAATACTAACCAGTTTTTAATTAATTATATTGGTAATGCAGATTTTAGAAGGACCTAAGAGTCGCTAAATAGTAATTAAGTCTGGTTCTTAGGATAAACTACAGTTCAAGCCAAACAGCTTTCAATACCTTTGTAACCCAAGCAATGTGTGAGGCTCCCAGTGTTTATGTTGCAGTTAAAGGGTTAGTCCTGTCAACTTTGAAGGGAAGTGCTGTCTAATAGTTAGAAATAGTTAGCACTTTATCAGCTGTGACATCAGCACAAAGTGTGAAGAAACCAATGAGGTGAATTGCTAAAGGCGCTATCATGTTCAGGTCTTGTCTCGTTTAGAGAGAACAGCCATATTGTTCGGGGTGAGGACAAGCTGGGGAAGTTGAATGTGGGAACCATGATGTTAAACATACTGTAGGTCACAACATCATTGAAACCGATGATTGATATTGATGTACATTATTTTGATTTGGTAGAAATGCTTGCCAGTACATATTATCTTATTAGGCAAAAACCTGTTGCCAAGGTACACACGTCTGCAATGAATGATGTTTCAGCTAAGACAGAAACTAACCAACAAAACCAATACTTAGTGCAATTCTACACAGAAACCTAGCCCTAATAAATTGTTTAACATTGACATTCCGCCCCTTCCAATATGGCGTCACGATCGTACCACAGTGGTCAATCGTTTGAAGTGGATGTGATGCCTCTACCAGGTACACCTCATTGGAAGAAACAACATTTTTGTTAAGGATAGTCTAATCTAGCCAAACCAGTTTTTTAAAATTTGTTCTGACTTAATGAAAGTCTAAAAAAGGCTCAGCACATATGTACAAAGTCGATCAAAAATCACAAGATACCCCGTTTTTTTATTTTAGAAAGAAAAAAAACATACCCCATAATGGGAGAAAAGGTCAATCTTTTAGGATATGTCCAAAACATGGTTGCCATCTTGAAAGCTGTCATATTGGACATATTATGACTCATCCTGTATTTCTGTAGTAGGACTGCAACTAATGTTTAAACTAACATAATGAGTATTTCCTCAGTAACTATGATGCCTCACTTTACTATAGGGTAGGGTACACAAAAACAGTAATCGCTGGTCAATTATTGAGTAATTAAAGATTCTTCTTTCTTATTTAAGTCTTGTTTTTTTCCCCTATTTGATGCGACCGTCTCTCTGATCCACCATTAATGTCACTTGTTGATTTGCCCACAGCTTCTTCTGTGGTTTGCAAATCGGCACTCCATGTTCTTCTTTTGTAAACAAAGCAGACAGAAGCGATTCTGCCCCCATCAGTGCAGCTTTACAGTTACAAATGAATACAGTATTTACGTGGGTAATTATTATGATGTGTCAATTTAAAAATTCTGCATCGACTTATTTTCATAATCAACGTTATGTTGGCTAAACTTTGCATCCATAATCTGTAGTAAAATGGATGTTATTTGGTTGAGAAGACAGATGGTGTCATGCAAAAGTATTGATGTTTAATATAGTATATAGTCTTTCACCCCAGTATGTCAATTTTGTGGAAATGTTTGTTTGTAAGCCCGAAAAGCAAAGCAAAATACAAACTAGTGCCTGATTGGACAGCCATAAACATAACCTGGATGAAGAATTTTGCCTCTTTCTTAGTACTCTGCGATGCCACAGCTGATAAGGTAGAAACTATTAATAACTATTTAGCAAAACATCACTTCAAAGTTGACTGCACTATTCCTTTAACTGCAACATAAACATTACACAACTATATCAGTAAAAGCTGTTTTCTCTGCTTCCGATGAAGTATTAATGATCTTTAGATTGAGTAAAGGTCACTCTATAATAGACACTGGTAAAACCTAGGATGCACAGCTATTAAAAAATATTCTCAGTAACAATTAGTTTGATTATCAGAAACTGATTAGTTTTATACACAGTTTACACAGTTTAATTGTGTTGACGACAATCTCTTAAAATCAGCTGTATGGGTTCCTCTGCTCTGTGCGCTTGAAATTAATTAAATCTGAATGTGACCTTTGATCTGTGTTCTGCAGCCAGTTTCTGTAAATATGTGGGATGACAGAAGGGGTGGGGGCTGGGTGGGAAGAGAAGTCTCCAGGTCTTATTTTGACAGCAAACCGAGTGTTTTAAACGAACGCTTGGCTCTGAGTTCATCTTTTAGGGGCCAAAGGCAGCTCATGGGGAAGTCAAGCTGCTCTCTGGTTTATCTGCCATGATTTTAATCTACTAAGCTTCTATAAAAGCTGTTCTCTGGATCATTCGTTGGCTGCAATGCAGCTCTTTAGGAAGTGCATTGTTCCGTTTCCTGTTCACCAGTTTTAGACTAAAACCTCTGATGAGGGGCTGGCAAAGTATCTGACCTGGTTTTTGTTGGCTGCAGTGAAGAATAGTTTGAGCAGCAACTTCTTAAAACTTATCTGTCAGCCTACTGGAACATGTCAGTATTTCTGATTATTGTGAATTAAACAGGAATATGACCGCAACCACTGTCGTTTGTTGCCTCTCTCCTAGGTGATTTGGGTGTGCAATAATTGCCGGAAGCAGCAGGAGATTCTGACCAAACCAGGCGACTGGTTTGGGAAGCCTTCTGGACTTGGTTCTGCTGTCAGCGAACCATCCGTGTGCCAAGTGTCCGGGGATAAGAAGCTGAGATCTCGCTCCCAAGCACCCACAGGCTCTGCTGGTACGATCCAAGACCCTGGGCGACCAGGGGCCACAGCTGGAACAGATGCTCGCTCACTTAGTGAGCCACCACGAGACGCGTAAGCTAAAAAGACAAACATAGCTCTCAGGAAGATATTAGTTTTTTTCTGAAGGCACCGCAAAGTATGATGTTAATTTTATTGAAGTTATGTCTTTTTGTTTTCTGTAATAAAAAGCACTTTAATCAGGAAACAAAGGATTAGGGTTAAAATACATCCAGTTTCTTAGATACTTTACAAACTGACAAACACATTTATGCACAGGCAGAAACGTTATCAACCACCTTTTTCCTTCTCGCAGTAGATAATAAGTAGTGGTGTGCCAATACTGCCATTTTTACAAATACACATACTTGTCCAAAATGCCCCGATACTTGAAACTGATAGAGATACCAGTATCGATACTGGGTTTCAGGTATCAATACTCCATTGAATGTATTACAGTTTACATTTTAAAGGAACATTTTGTCAGTTCCATGTTTGAGAGACGTGTAAATGCTGTATATATTTAAATTTTGCAACAGTATATTTCATGCTGTATTTGATTTGACACATTCAGAGGGGCTGTAGGCCTACAAGGAAGGAGAGCTGTGTTTTTAGACTCATTGTGTAATGTTTATGTTCTAACTCAGTAAGTATTCAGTGTCGGTGACTCAGTATCAATGAGTACCCAAACTGAAGTACTCATGCTCGTACTAGGTTTGAGGAAAAACTGGTATCGGGATACCCTTAATCATAAGATCATATAAAACAAAAAAATATAACTTTTTTATTTTAAAAGGTTAAGAACAATTATAAGTCATAACACACAGCAATAAAAAACAATTCTTAAAACCAAGTAATGCTAGCAATAATTTTATAGTGTGGTCTTCAAACCAGAAAAGATGTGAGTTGCTTCTTTAGTAACTTGATTAAATTGAGTCTTGTAAGACAAATCCTGGTCAAAAATTCCTCTTTTTTTAAGTTAAACTTGAATGCCATGTATTACCATCCAAAGTAAATATGTGGCAGCTCAAAGTGTTCCTGAAGCTTTTGGAATCAAAAGTAATTACCTCTGTTTTACTTACATTCAAAAGTAGAAAATTACAAGTCAGCCAGGTCTGTATGTTCCTTCTTTATTTGAGGATAAAAGAAAGCTGGGTGTCATCTGCATAATGAGAAAATGCTATCTTTTCTAATGGGGCAATTCAGGGGTAAGCATGCACAGTAAAAACAGAACTGTGCTTAGACTAGAATCCTGTGGAACACCATTACTACATCTGGAGGGCATGGAGGACGCATTGTGATGAACAAACTGAGATCTGATGGATGAACGAGACAGAATTTTATGTCTAATCCCAATGTTGTTTCTCAGTCTGTGCATTAAGATGTTTTGATCAGGGATAATCTTTGTAGATTTACTTTTCCTGGATAATGCTAACAACTTTCATACAACAGAACAGCTTTTACCACACAGATGTTTGCGAAAGAAGCATTTTAGTCTCCAATTTTGGGTCAGTGTGGAAACTTACAAAAAACTTGCCCAACAAAATAAGAATAATTGTCCGTCATTTTGGGACAGTCTTAACAAAAGGCCAAAATTTGACATTTGTTAGGAGTACTAATAAAGGGTTTTGCATTGTTCTAAAATCCCAATGTGTCATATTATGATTTTAGGGTTCGTAATTAAAATACATATTTTACTTGCACAGTAACTTGAAGAGAAATAGGGTTTAATTCTGAAGAAGCAAATGTTAGCCTGTCAACGTGTAAATCTGGGAGGACAACATTGATGGTAACTGTCTTGTTGTCCTGAACACAGGTTCACATTTAAATCATCTTCAGAAACAATTGCTGACTGAAAGTTATCTGCTTGTTTTCTGATGCCCGCTGATGTTGTTGGCCTCTCAGGAGGAATGTACGGGGAGGTGGCGGAGCAGGTCGAGGGGAGCGGCGGCCGGGTCAGTCGAGGCTGCAGACTCAAGTCTCCATGGATCGGGACCTGCGGGGGGAGCGCAGGGAAAGCCGTCAGCTGTCAAAGGTCCGGTCTTTGGAGCAGGATCCTGTGGGAGGAAGTGGAGGTATGAAACGAACAGAAGAGGGGGGTTACCATCATGTGGACAACAGTGGGGCCCCCCCTCGACAAGCAGGGTCATTAGCCCCTGCTGGCAGTGGCCCTTCTGTGCACACTCAGGGTCGGGGGACAGGTGCACAGGAGGTCAGGGACACTGCTCGACCTGGACAGAGGACGGTGGGTGGGGTTGGTGGACCACGTGAAAGTGTTGTCTCACAGCAGGCCCCGCCCCCTGAAGTCAGAGAGCCTCCCGGTTCAGGGCCCGGCTCAGCTGCCGGTCAGGGGCCCGGAGTCAAACGGACCAAGCGGGACAAGGCTGAGAGCATGCTGAGGAATGATTCGCTGAGTTCCGACCAATCCGAATCTCTGCGGCCGCCTCCGCCACGACCCTACAAGTCGAAACGAGGGCCGGGTGCCGGAGGGAAGAGGCAAACCAGCGTGAGCAGCTCAGAAGAGGAGGGGGGCACCACACCTGAGTACAGCAGCTGTGAGGATGCTGAGATCGAAAGTGTCAGCGAGAGAGGTGAGAGAAAATCAGCTTCTCTTCAAGATGTACTTAGATTCCATTAGATTTACATGAATCAGATTTGGGAAGCAGGTTGAATTTCTCACAACTGTAGTAATGTGCAACTAAGGTGCTGCACCTGAAAGTGTTTTAATTCCTGACTGAACATTACTGCGTGAAATTAGAATAAGTCTTTGTTTGAGACTCTGATGAATCTAAATAAGTTTCCTCTTTTGTCCTTACAGCTCTTTTTGGTCTAATCTTCTATAAAGTACCTCAAAGTTATACTTGAGTAAAAGTAAAAGTATCTTACTGGAAAAGGACTTTGGTAAAAAATAAAGTCTTCTCTAAGAATATTACTTGAAAAGTCTTAAAGTATCTGACATTTCCTGTATTTAGGTATCAAAAGTAAATTTCTCACATAAATTGTACTTAAGTATTCAATGTAAAAGTAAGAATTTCCAAAATATCTCTTATTGGGAGATGACCTCCCAACTC